TATGGAGGTGAGCCATGGTGACTCACTAAAGCAGAAGAGCACCAGCTATCTGTCACCATGAGACCACGGAGAGAAGAATGTTAGGAATCTGACGTCATGGTGATCAGAGAGCGGACGGGAGTGAGGAACCTTGTTGTTGAAAGCAGAACGGAGACGTTGCGGTGGATCAGACACGTAGTTCGGCCCATCGACTTCTACCCTCCCCCTGCCCACTCCTCCCTCCTGTTCGATCTAGGCCGCTTGGTCGCCCATCGCTACGATGCGAAGATTATATTCGGGATCGGGAAGGCTGTGGGCGGAGGGAGAAGGCTCGCAACCGCAAGAAATGGCGGGCGTTTGCCTCACCGATTACCGACCGATTCAGGCGATCCAGGTGAGGATACTGTAAAGGGGTCAGGGGGGGGGGTGACGGTTCGAATTTCCACCCAGCACACTGATTAGTAACATGCTGAACCGTCTAAGTAGAGGATGACATTTGGCATGGATTAAGAGACACTCTGGACAAGCTATGCTATAACAGGTGCAAACGACAGCTATGTTATTCAGTACGCATGTGCGTGTGTTTTAAAGTGGTGCCAAACTACTTAGCAGAAGTGACGGTTGGTTCCGCTGTTTTGAGTAAATTCAGCAGGACGCAAATTCCATAGAACAAGACAATAAATCAAAACCTTGCCATTACATGAAAAGCAGTACTAAACTCCTTCGGCGTGGACAACCAATCCGGTACAGGGTCGCCTCTACGACGCGCAGAACTGGTTATCATAAAGCAAATAAACCTGGAGATGGCAAAGTTTCGAGCACTTCGCTTTACTAGTTCCACGGACGTAAATTTGCCAGTACAAATCCGTAAGAAACCGGGCTCGATTGGCTGTCGCGCTTACGAAATCGCGTGTGTACATTTACCCTGCTGAATACATAGAACGGAGAGGGAAGAGGTCAACAGTTCGTTGAAAGGTAAGCCGTTTGTGAGGCAACAGTTTGCATTAAGGTGAACAGAAACAAGACTGAGGCAAAGTAGGGCAAGAAACATGCCGACATTAAATTAAGGAGGATCTCGCTGTCAGAGGTAGAGGGTCGTCCAAGAATAAGGAAGAAGTGAAAGACTTCGATTCGGCAGGCGAGAACGGTAGTTCAAAAAAGAGGCAGCTCAGCTGAGTATGACTAGGGAAAAACCTTCGCTGACACTCATTCTCTGGACGAAAAAGTGCAATAGACTACTGATTTGGGATCGAAGCACAAAACGGAGATCTCACTGGCTGAATATTACGGCTTCGGATTAAAAAATTAAACGAGACGAGAGACAAGCAAATCGTAGGATGGAATAAGATAGGATTAAAGAGTATTCTGTGTAAGTAAGTAAAAAGTACTTCAATAGCTGGACTGCAAGTACTGTAACCATACACGAAATCATCAGTCAAAACCATACAAGAAACGGACATCGCGGAAACATTAATGATAACAGAGGCAATGAAAGTCAACTGAACGACTGAACGAACTCAGAAACGCAGGACCCTGCTGACATGCGAATGATGCCGTAAAAGAACACATAAAATGAAACAAAATACATCACGTTCTGTGCCACAAGTGTCAACAGGTACAAGAGAGCCAGCAGTACT